CAAGTGACGCTGCAGACACTTGAGGCTACGACCATACTTGAGGCAGAACTCGCAGAGATAGAGGACGGGCAACGTGGTGAGCTCCTGTGGGTACGGGGAGAAGTACCACGGCTTGAGGCGGTGGCGGCCCAGTTCAATGCACTCAATGTTCTTCATTCGGGTCACGATGTCGTCGTGGCTCCGGTCAGATACTAGGCTCCCAGTCATGCGCGGAGCTGATGGTATTCCATCTGAGCTGTCCTGGGAGTCCTGCTCAGGGCCGGTGGAAGACACCGGGTTACAGGAAACGGTACAGCTCACCCATATGTTTCCTTGTTCAAGCCTAATCCTACAAGGGAAGTACTGTAATTCCCACTCTCAAAATAAAGCAAGCAAGATGTGGCAAGTTTTCATTCAAAACTTGGGAAAAATCACCCAATGACTGATCTGAACCAGCTCTACCTGGCTCCCAATCCTACCAACACCATGGCTGCCCACCGCTCCTTGTTTATTTTTAAACTAGACGCTAAACTTTCCACCCCGCCCATCTCCCCTCCTTTTCATCCAGCTTCCCTCTTCCCCAGACCTACCTCATCAGTGCCCAAGCAATTCGATTTTCGCTTCCGTCCTGGCTGCGCTGCCACTGCCCTACGGGCTGATCCATTCTGTAGGTGAGATGGTAGGAACAGAAAAGGTGGCTGTGACATGAGTCTGAAAGGGGCTACCAGAAGGTAGAAAAAAGGAAGAGATGGTTTGGAGGACTCACCTGGGGAAAAACTGAGGCTGGGGCTGTCTCACTGGGCACTGGAGTTGCTGGTGAAACCACCTCCACCTTCCGTTTCTGCAGAGAGAAACCAAGAAAGGTGGGTCAGAAGGTAGAGAAGGTGGGACCTGAGAGGAAAGCAAGGTCCCTGGAATTGCTGAGGGTACCGTTGAGCGGTGGTTGGGCTGCAGGCAGGAGCTGGAGGAGAGCGGCTGGTCGGGCTCGCCACCGGGAATGGCTTCCCGCTCCTTGGGCAGGTTGAAGCGGAGTGTGATCTGGACCGGGATTGGCAAGGTCTTCCCGCTGGCCTGGGTGGAGGCCGGCTGTAGAGATAGGTCCAGGGTCTTCCTCTGGGGTGGGGATGGTGGTGGGATGGGGAAGGGGAATAGGGCCCCTCAGCATGGAGTGATCAAACCCCACCCTCTGCCCTCTCAAGGACACAGGAATAGCCGCTGGATTCTGGAAGCTACATCTGCAACTTGGCCCCCATCCTTTGCAAGTTGAAGCCAGGGTGGGAGGGTGTGACCTCCAGCCCATCCAGGAGCCACTGAGGCTAAAAGATGAGAGTAGTAGGAGGCAGGAGAGAAGAGGTGAAGTAGGGGACCTACTCACCACCTCTCTCTCTGGAGAGCCGGGGCGGGACCCAGGAAGTCCGTTCTTGGTGGGGGTCTTGGCTTCTTTCTTGGGGAATTGGATCTTCTTCAGGTCCAGCCTTTCGTGGGTAACCCATTCATCCAGGCGTTTGTTGACTGCAGCAGTGGGGATGTCTCAGGAAGGAATGCCAGAGACTGCCTCCCAACCCTACCCTGCAGCCCCTCCTCACCCTGGTCCAGCACTCACAGTCAATGTAATGGACGTAGAAAAGCTTCCGGCCACTGATGTCCTTCACGCTCAGGATCTCAGCCAGGGCTGTGGGAACAGCATAGGCAGGGGCGTTAGACCGGCCAGGCCATGAGGCTCCACCTTCCTGCGACCTGAACTCCACCCCTGGGCCTAATCCCTAAGCCCCAGCACTTGGAAGCTCTCGCCCAAGCCCCCTTTAGTCACCCAGTGCCAACCCCTCTCCAAGCCCCGCCCTGTCCATTTCGGAGTAGCTAAAAGCCACGCCCCTCCTGAGTATCTGCGCCCCGCCTGCCCCAGAATTCTCGAAGCCCCTCCCCCTCCCAAGGGTTCGGTTGACTCCCGCCCCTCGCCCTCAGGTTCTTAGCCCCGCCTCCCGACGTCACTCACGCCACTCATCTTCGTTGTCCTGGTTCCGCCGCAGCACCGGCAGGCGGCAGCCTTCGATTATCTCCCCCTGGGGAGACAGCGCGGCGCCAGGGTCGGCTACTGGGGGGCCTCGGGCTCTACCCACCTCCCCTGGCTCCCTCCGCCCCGCCCCGGGCACCGGACTCACCACCTCCGCCATCTTCCCTCCCTCCACTGACACTTCCGGCCCCTCTGGGAGACGTCACTTCCGGGACTGAGTGTGCTGTAGGCCTGGGCCTCCCAACGCCACCGTAGAAGAGGACCGTTGAAAGACACTACCGCTCAGCTGGGAGCGGGGAGCTGACCCGTTTGGCTGGCGGGAGAATAGGGCGTTTTAAGTCTCGGGTTGGGTCCTGGGAGGAATCTCCATAACATGCACAATGATTGGAGGAAAGCTGAGTCTGTCACGTGACGCCCACCGGGTGCGACGCCGGTCCCGTGGACGCGGCGCGGGTCACGTGGGGGTAGTGTTTGTGCTTTTGGGGGTGGTTGGATTCAGGCCCCTGAAGTGGCGGTGGGAGATCCCGTCCGCTGTGAACTGCGAGTGCTCGTTG